CTTGAAAAGTTGTTCCTATTTGAGTTAGATACTAGCAGGTCCAGCCTAGTTTGTGGTGCCACCTAGATGCCACCTCATCCATCTTCACCTCATCCATCTTGACTTGTTGACTAGTCAAACTAGTTAACAAATGGTCAAAATACCTTAAATCCTCAAAATCGTCTTATATACATCATTTTATTTCAAACCCATTTAATTCTAGTAGCTTCGAGGCCCTAAACATCCTATAGAAACTTCCCAAGTCATCCTTAATCCCTAGATTAAGTTCAAGTTAAGCCTTAATCATGCCCATGTGCACAAGGGGACAAAAAGGCCTTTCCCTAGATGTCCTTGCCTTGTCCTTTGATTCTCTTCTCTCTAACAATCCAATGACACTTTACAGCATCATAGGAAGCAGCCAAATCAATCTCAACCATCCAAAACCAATTAGGGCATTTGAAAAAATCAAAAGGAATGAAAAAGCCGGATTCCTTCATTCAACACTCTCTCACCACATTCAAACTACCGAACATCCTCCACTAAAAAGTCCTTTCTCTAGCTCCTCCACCATCTCCTCTACCCATTGCATTTATTTCTCTACCATTTCCAAGTCCACAAACCTTATTTTGGTGAAGAGAGAGGGATCTCGAGAGAGAAAGTGGGGTTTTGAACGTATCTTTCAATCCAACACTAGACTTTGGAGTCTTATAAGAACTTGAAGGGGACCTTTCTAGCTTTCCAACAACCCTATGCAATAAAAAATTTGACAACTCGATTATAAGTTACCCCCATTTTTAATTTAAAATTAAATTTGAAACTGCTCACAATCTATAATGCATGGAGCCTCCAAACTCCAAGCATTAAAAAATTAGGACACTATGAGCTTATGTTTTAAAATTCATCAAATTTTGTTAACTATTTTGAAAGTTATGGCCAATTGAAGTTTGTGGTTCATTCTGAACTGATTTGCTCTTGATGAATAAAAGCTGTTTGATCTTTGCTTCTGCACGATCAGGCAGGTAAGAAACTACCACATCATCCCCTTAGAACTATGTGTCGGCCGCTGGATTCAAACTTGGACCATTTGGAATGGTAGGTGCTAACGTGGCTTAATCTCGATCATTAGTTAATTCCGCAATCGATTCAACAATCTTGATTTCAACTGAAGCAGATTATGATAATTACGATAGCCCACCGCATCACGCATAAATATTTTCAATGATTGGCAATGATTGCACCACCATTTGATAATTTAAATTGAATTAAAAAAATATTTTAATAACCAAAACTTTAAAAATTCACAAAAAATCAAAATTTTCACCAAATTACGAGTTCTACAAGTCATTGGAAAGGGCTTGAGCCCTACTATTAATTAAAATTAAATTTAAGTTGTTTTGATCACTAGATTTTGAAATATTTGAGCTAGTTTAAAATTTAATTTTCTTAATTTTGAAAATATAAGGTTAGGCTCCTAGATTGCAATAGGTTTCTATCCATATAACTTGACTAGAGTGAGGACATGGTCATGGTAATGCTAGGCTAGAGGAAGTCTCACCCTACAAGATAGTCTTTAGTATCAACAATTGAGCTAGTAGCCACTCAATGCAATAGAGCTCATGATGTACGATATTTCTCCTAGGGGTTCAAATTAAAGAGCACTCATCCTCAATTGTCTCGCCAAAAGAAAATGCCCAAATAGTTCTCCATCACTAGCCCCAAGAAAATTTTCTCTACTTACTAAGGAGTACATTAGAGATACTACCCCACTTAGCCCAATACCAAATAAACCATGATAAATTAATTAACAAAGAAGGGGCAGTTATAGAAATGTCATCGTAAGAGATAAAATATATATTGAAGAATATAATCCAACAAACACCCATTTTTTTTACCTTAAATCATCCATGAAACTTCATAAAAAATAAGTCAGATAATCATCATCATCAGAGAAAGGAGAAGGTGATAATAGGATAATGAATTCTTTATATCAAATAGCAATGATTTGAAAAGTAACTCAATTATTTATCTTTTAAAATTAAAAAAAGTGACATACTAATCATATGAGATCAAACACATGATGGTAGATATAACCTTCCAAGCAGCCAAGAAAACAAATCCTAAATAACTCTATTAGCCAGTAAAATAGTAAGAGGAGAAAATTTATAATAATAAACCTTCAAGGGGGTGTCTAGAAACCCAACAAAGACCAACAACAACATAAATATATGGAATTCATAGCACAATTTAAAAAATATTCCCAGCCAAAATGCATACACCTCATTAATAGTAGAACATCAAGAATTTCCTATAAATAAGAAAGTATTGAAAGGAAGGAATATAGTGCATGTGAATCAATATGGTACTAAATAGTAGAATAAATATTAGATCACCAAAAAGCTAAAAAATGCACAAAAAATTCCAAATGTAGTAAAATTGAAAAGCATGATAACAAAGTTAACTAATTACAATAAAAAAGAGCTGAGCAAATGTCAAGGAAAGTGAAGCAATGAAAGGTTTTGAGGTTTGCCATGTTTAAACTTCCACATTATACATTTCATTCGAATAAATAAATGAATTTTCAACATTATAATAGGTATTTCTATAGTTTTACCTTGAAAAATTCTATTATTCCTTTGTTTCCATAAGAATTGCATGTTTAGTTATTCGAATAACAAGATAGAAGAAACTCTTCATAGTTTTGCATTTAATACCATCAACAAACCTAAAACCTTGGTTAATCTTGTAACCCATATTAAAATAAGAGCTATGAGGAATGCATTTCTTAAGAATGTTGAAAGAAAGTGGACAATCAAAGAAAAGATGATTATGTGATTTCATAAAAATATTACATTGATGTTTCAAGCAACCTTTGAACTAAACAAATTTGTGTTAAACTACTTTAGGTTCATCCAAATAAAGTCTGTTATAGATTTGTTTTATAGGAGAAAGTTTCCTAGTCAAACACATCAAGAATTAGAAGTATGGATCTTCATCAAGGAAATTTGATTAAAACATGTAGAATTGGTGGGGGTAACACCAATTACCATTATTAATGAAGTCATTAGTGGTGTTATAATAAGAACAAGAAAAAAAACTTTGTCACTGAATTACTAAATTCTCCTATAAGAGTTTTACCTCTAACAGGATCATGAATAAAAAGAAGAGGTTGATTGATGTTAACCTTAAATGAAGAGAATATATATTTTTTGAGGCAATGTTACCAGAGGCTTTAAAAATCAAGCGACATTTTTAGACAGTTCAATCTAGAGGGAAGATTAACTGTTAAAAAGCAATGAGGCAATATTAGTATTGGTTTTAAAAAATCTCTGGATGCGTTTGCACTTAGTTAGCATATGTAAGGAATTTAGATTAGGGAGACTAGGGCCTCCTTTTCTCATTAGGTTTAGTAGTGGTGTTCCAAAAAAATAAGATGGAGTTTCTTAAGTGCACCAATATTATAAAGGAACTTAATAATGAGGATACTGATTTTCTTTCTAATACCTTTATGAAAGATTATTAATTTAAGCCAGTAATGAAGATAATTCTAGATAGTGGATTTGACAAACTAAAATATGCTAGTAAAAGAAGGAGCTTTTAGTTCTACCCTTTGAGCCAAGAGTTAAGTTTATAAAAAATTTTAGAACAATAATTTATATTTAACTTAGCATTGAAAATTTTTAGTCCTAAATAATCACAAGGAAGTTACTTAAGGGTAAAACAAAAAATAGAGCATATCTCCACTTTGATATTATGATGGATAGCTTTGAAAAAAAATCACTAATTTATTAAAATTTATAGCAATGCCATATGCCTTATTAAAGGATCTAGTATATAATATAGAATTGTAGCATTTATTTGATTAACTTCACCAATGACTAATAGATCATCAACATAAATTAAATGAGAGATACTAGAGTTTTTGCAAGTGATTCCTTTAAAATAGAAGCCATTAGAATGCATTTTGATAACACATTTGAAGAGTAAAGGAGAGAAGGACTTTGTTATTAGAGGCCTGAAGAGGAGGGGATATAACCTTCAAATTTCCCATTAATGATAAAAAAATAGATGAATATTAGAAATTCAGAAAATTTGTGAAAATCTAAATTACCATAGTCTTGAGTAAAGAAAGTTTATATTAACTTTATTAAAAGCCTTTTTATGTCAATTTTATCATACAAAGATTTAGGATAATTTTGAATGTTAAAATCATGAATAAGCTCAATAATAAAGATGATGTTATTAGCTAAATTTCTATCCTAAAGAAGGTAGACTGAGCTAGATGAATGAGTTTGGAAAGAATAAATTTGAGTCATCTATCTAAGAGATTAACAAAAAATTTATAAAAAGTATTGCTTAGAATTAGTGGTTTGTAGTTATTCAAAGTTTCAAAGGGAGATTTCTTAGGAATTAAAGTGATTGCAATATGTTTAACTCCATCTTATAGGGAAGTAGTTACAAAAAAGTATTTAACAGTGATATGATAACGCAATTGAAGTTACCAATAACTATTCAAGTATCATTGATTGAAGAAGTAATAATTGCTATTGCTTCCCATAAAGATTTTCTCTCATGCACACTATTAACTACACATATAATAGTAATTAAAATAGAATATGTGGTAGAGATAAAGACTTTGACATGGATAAATGCATGATGGATTGAAGAATACTTTTGAAGCATTTCATATTATCCAAATTTTGTCTTTGTCATCAAGATGAAATTTATTACCACTTTCTTCAAGAAAGAAGAAAGAAAATTGCTAGACAGAAATGATTAGAAGCAACAATATAGTCATCTTTGTTTCAGAAAAAAAAAAAGGTAAATATTAAAATCTTTGATAAGATTTCTATAGTCAGTTTATCTACCATTATCATTTAACCTTATGATATTTTCAGATAATTTTTTTATAGTAATCCCGCAACTAAACAGAAGTATCACGTGTTTGCAGCACGTGACACAACGGCTTTCTTGAATTTTTTTTTTTTTTGGGAAAATTCATGGAACCTAATCGAACGCGGCTTTAGTCTCAAGGAATTTCTCCTGGCTCACCTGTACTTCTACGGTCATGGGGAAATGCCCACCCGAAAAACTTCCGTATCTTCTCCGCCACATCCTACTCTGCCCTCCGGGATCGCGCCAGCTTTCTTCCGGCAGAACCCTACCAACGTTGTCGCCTTCGTCGCTGCAACCAATGGATTCAGCGGAGCCGGCGTCCCCAATCCGTGTGGTTTCGACTTTTTCGTCGCCGCTGGACCGACCCATCGACGCGAGCTCGTCGATACGGAAGCCGCTTAGCCTCTGGCCAGGGATGTACCACTCGCCAGTAACCAACGCGCTGTGGGAAGCGCGGTCGAGTATTTTCGAAAGGCTTCTCGATCCATCCATGGACGGACCGCCGCAGAGCGAGTTCCTCACGAAGTCGCCGGCGCAAAGTCGGACAAGCATAGTTTACAACTTCTCTACTGATTACATCCTACGGGAGCAATATAGGGATCCATGGAACGAAGTCAGGATTGGGAAGTTGCTGGAAGATCTGGACGCGCTAGCTGGCACCATCGCAGTGAAGGTTTGAGTTTGGCTTCTTGCTTTTAGTTTTTGGTTTCTCTAATAAGGGTTTGGACCAGGAATGATTCGCATTTTGTTGCTTGATCCAATAATTTATGTACATGATAGTCATCTCCATTCAGATGGACATGCTTATTCTAAATTTGTTGTCCATGGTTGTGAAGCCACGGAGGAGTTGCAATTTCTGAGTGGCTTTTTGCATAGCTTGTTTTTATCTCTAACTCTAAATTATGATATGTCAATGAAAGTTCAAATGAGATTGGTAAACCTAGTTGAACTGTCCAAGGTACACAAAGAGGGGATGAACTAGTGTTTTAAAAATATTTTCTTTGAAAATTTTTAACCAAATTCACAAGCGGAAGAAAACAACAAAACAACCAAGAAAAACTTTTTACTTTTGATTTTATAGAAAAACGATTGGAAACTTATTTTTCTTCTTTTTGATTTTCCGATATTTTATTATTATTAATTTTCTTGCTTACTTAAATTAATCCAAAACAATCACAATGCTTCCAACCTAGATTTACAAGAATATAACATGTAGGAAATTAAAAATTTAAAATTAAAATGCTAAGAGAAAAAGATAAAAGCGCACTAGAAATTTTATAGCAGTTCGATCAAAACTTGACCTATGTCCACTCTCCGAAATCCTTCTATCCGGGTATTGCACTAATCTTTTGGTAACTCTCCTTTAGATCCCACAGTTAGACGAAGAAGTCATTACAGAATCATTTCCACCTTTCCACGGTGCGGTGGGGAAGTTGAATCCCTTTCACCAACCCGGTGTGACGGAGTAGTTTGATCATTTGACACCACGAGCCTCTTCCCAGAGTTTACCTCAAGCAAAGCAAAGACTCTTGAAGATAGAAGGTGAATGTTCACAGAGAAATCATGTGTAGAACTTCTCTCACACACTCACTTAATCTCAAAAGACCCTTCTCTCTCAAAAGCCTCACCTCTCTCTCTCTCTCTCCCAAGAACAAAGATCTCTCTTCAAACCCTAGCTTATTGAAAAGCTTCCTCATAAAAATTGGCGAAAGAATCTCTTAAATGAATTAAGAGAGGTTTAAGTACAAGGCTCTAAAAAACCTTAATTTTTTAGTTCATCCATTTATGTTCATACAATACGTTTAGTTCAAAATCGCTGTCAATTCTATATGATGAACGAATTAAAGTATGTCCAGTTCAGGAATCTTTAACTGATCATACCATATGAATCATTGATCGTACAATACGATTAGTGCATTTACTTAAGTTCATCCAAGACGATCTCAGGGAAGATATAAAATCGTCTATGTTGATCGTCTAATATGATAAATATCATACTGTATGAATAGTTCAATCCAATCAAGGTTCATTCAGGATAATCCCTGGGATAATAAAAAATCATCTCTACCGATCATCTAATATGATTAAGATCGTATTGTATGATCGGATTGATTAATTAAACCTTGATTTGATTACCTGATTGTAGGTCTTAATTTAGTCATGATTTCGTAAATCGTACAATACAAAAAATACTCGTATAGTACGATCAATTCAAAATTTAAAATTCAAAATATTTGTTTAAATTTGATTGGCGACTAGGGGCTTAGATTTAAACTGATCGTCTTGTATGATTTAGTTTGTGCAATGCGGTTAGCTCAACTTTTTAATCTCTCAATTACTCGTTTTAATTAACTGATTGTACGGTACGATTGAGATTGTACGGTATGAACTTTAGAAAATTTGAACTTCTAAGTTTCATTCCCCGTGTGTGTGTGCATGGTTGCTAAGCTAACATATACCTTTACAAAATAATTGACTCAAGAAACATAAAAATAAATAAATGAAAATACAGACTTTTGCAAATATCAAACCTATTCTACCCATTATTGGGTCTTGAATCTTTATTGATACATGGTGTACGATGTACTTAAAATGTTAATGCACACAAGATAAATATGCAATAATAATACTAGGAGAAATAGAGTAAAATCCATTAATGTTTGTTATTATCAAAATTATAAGCTCGAAATCCCAGATTGCAACAATTAAATCTTTAAAGCAAAGTAGCTAAAAAACTTACCCCAGATGTCCTAAATCTTTTTAGAAGTCATATTGCAAGCAAAGCAGATTGCAGTATCTTAAATTTTTTTTCTTTTTGAGAAATGAGGGCCACTCTAAGCTTTTATCATTAGTCAAACACTGCGATGAGAAAAAAGTATTTGTGCATCTTTAACCTAAATACTGATTTTCCATTTTAAAATACAATAACATTTATACCAATTACCAAACAGTAATTCGTCTCCAACCGAACTCCATTTCTAACACTAGAAAAGAATATTCAACGTATATTTATTCTCTTCTCTATTTTTATTCTCAAAAATGCATTTTGTGAACTTCTCAAAAAATTTATTTTTGTGAACATGGCGTCGCACTATTCATAGTAGGGAAATAAACACAATAATGTGTTTGCGTTTGGGGTTTGGGTGGGAGGCTCACGGCAACTGCAAAGACTTATTTACAGCTCGGTTGGAGATGATTACAATGAATCATACATAAGTTTACATATATATTAACAAACTAAATAAAACAGAAAACCTATATTTCCCAAAGCAAAAGAAAAAAGCACTCCCAGAAAATTCAAACAATGATTATTGGTCCCATTCAACGGTAAGGATAGAAGTTTGAGTGCTTTCCCAACAATATATTGAGAAACATATGCATAGTAGATAAAAGAATCATACATACATACATATATATTAACAAACTAAATAAAACAGAAAACCTATATTTCCCAAAGCAAAAGAAAAAAACACTCCCAGAAAATTCAAACAATGATCATTGGTCCCATTCAACAGTAAGGATAGAAGTTTGAGTGCTTCCCAACAATATATCGAGAAACATATGCATGGTAGATAAAAGAATTGTCAATTTGAACCATAAAGAAAGGGTGAAAGGACTCTTCCTTGCCCGGAAAAATGCATACAACAATGTAGAGATGCAATTGGAGGCGACGATATGTAAAAGCCTTCCAAAATTATCCTATCCAAAAATCCGGCTTAGAGTGTTAAGAGCCATTTGTGAAAATTTCCATCTAGTGGCAGAAAAAGAGAGAAATAAGCTCAACAAACTATATATATCCAGCCAAAAAAATGTCGTGCTGTGCTAAAAATGAAGCAGAGAAATCTTATCCTGGCCCAACAAAATTGAATCCAATTCATATAGGTATTATGCTGCAGAATGAATACCATCCAACTGGTACGACCATATGATCAAATGGCAAGAAGATCTATCTCAGAATACCGACAACCAAACCACAACATAAAAATAAAAGCCAACATGTTGAAACCAAGCCAAAATTGATTCTTTTAATATTATGTTTTTGTACTATTATAACTATCACATCAGATATTTTTATATTTATAATAATGTAATTGAAGATATGAATTGTGATATGATAGATGATTAAAATAACCCAATAACATTATATAATCTACAAAGATTAAGTTAAATGCATCTTATAGTACATTAGATTGAAGGATTGTCAATGCTGCCCCTTGGATTTAGCTCAATTAGGAATTACTTGGACCTACGAGCTATGAAGCACAAGTACCAACATAAACATGGATATGCAATATATTTATAAAATGTATGGTATGGCGTGCTATGAACTGGGTAATATATTTTTTAATTTTTTATATGAAATTTATAATTGAAATAAGTAATGTCAATATTATCTATTTCAAAGTATTGCATAGTAAAATATAATATGATATATTTAACTAAAATAACTGATGGGTCAAAAAAATAAAAACTAACATCAATTTAATTACAATTACATTTCAATATTTCTTCTCGTGCATGAGACACCAACATTAGCATTATTTATTAGAAATGACTTTATCGTTGTAATATTAAATATGAAAACCCTGAGTATAATCTTTAAAAGAACCTCACAAAATATTAACACGTTGATCTATCACCAATTGGATGTAACAATTTAGGCATAAAGACAATATTGACTGTCCAACCTAAACGGAAAATTTTCTAAACAAAGAACAACTTGCATATGTCTTGTTGTCTGTGCCAACGCGTATCTCAGCTTTGTTGGCATGTCTCCTTGTTGGGTCCATGTATAAGTTATGAATAAATCATATTAGGCATGATTTCATGAATGTTGGAGAAGTTTTAGGTTGCGCTGTATCTGACACAGATACGGAAAGCTTTTTGAAGTGTCTTACTTTATATGCGATGATGTTTCTTTTGTTCTTTTGGATAACTATGTTTGTAGCAATTATCCTTTTTGAGTGGAACTCTATTTTGCACAACTGTTCTTTTAGCTTAGAAACTACTAAATCCTCAACCCATTGCTCCAATGCATGCGTTTTATATTTATCTTTTTTCCTTCTGTGGGATGCTATAAGTTTCTATTTCACAATTTGATGAATTTACAATGATTATTGAATTGAATAAGGTTCTCAGTTGTATGCTCATAACTGCTGCTCTATTTGCCTACATTTTGCTCCCAAATACTTACATTCAATAACAACAACATTAAGCCTTTATCCAATTATCCCAGTACATGGGGTTGGCTACAGGAATCCTTTTTGTGTATTGTATTATATTAAGAGTCAAATTCTCATTTAAATCTAATAAAGAAAGTATCATTTCTAATATTTTCTAATTAAATTTTTTAGGTCTACCTCAACTTTTTTTAACAAATACATCTGTTCTCCTAATCGAGTCATCGAAAGGCCCTTGTTTTATATAACCAAACCATCTAAAGTGACTCTCTAATATTTTCTTCCTCTGGAGCTACTCCAACATTTTCGCATATATGCTCATTTTGTATCCTATCTCTAAAAGTAAATCCACTCATCCATCTAAGTAGGGGTGCCAATTTATGACACGACACGAAATCTCGACCCGAATTCGGCTTGGAAATATGCTTTCGGGTCGACCCGTTTAACAAATGGGTCAAGTTTGGGCTTTAATTCCTGACCCGTGTCGTGTCTAGGTTAACCCGCAAACCAAAAAATAACCCACATCCTACAACTTGTAAACTTGCGTGTCCCATCTCTGCAACATTTAACTTAATATTATCCTTCTCTTTTAATTGCCAACATTCTGCACCATAAAGCATCACAAGTCTCACCACCAACTCATAGAATTTTCCCTTAAGTTTGAGGGGGATTTTTTAATCACATAAGAAGCTCGATGCATTACTCTACTTCAATCATCCAACTTGAATTCTACTAATAATGTCCCCATAAATTTCACCATCACTCTAAATAATAGACCCAACATATTTAAATTGTGTACTCTGATTAATGACTTGATTTCCCAGAGTTACAATCCCCACTAGATCTAAAATTATATTCCATATATTCGGTTTTAGATTTTCTCAAACAAAAACCTTTACAATTTAAGGTTGACCTCCATAATTCAAGTTTACCTTCAACTCCCTCTCTAGTCTTATCATCGAGAAGAATATCATCTGCAAATAGCATACACTAGGATACAACCTCCTGCAAATGTCTAGTGAAAACATCCATGACTAAAGCAAAAATATATTGGCTTAAGGTTGATCGTTGATGTAATCCAATTGAAATAGGAAAATTCATGGTCAAACCACCTTGTGTTTGAACACAATGATTCCTGCATATATATCCTTAAGGACTTGAATGTAAGCATTATTAACCCCTTTATTTTCTAGAACTCTCCATAGCACTTCTCTTGGATCTTTACCATACGCTCATGTATATTAAAGGATTCATGTCATGATTATTCAACGAGTTTTATGCTATTTGTCGACTACCTAACACGACCATCCACTTTTCTCATCTAGGACATGAGATCTGACAACGACAATATTTTTAAAAGAAAAATAATATATTAGGACTGCACATATATTGCAAATTGTCATGCATGTTGGATGCTGTTTTAGTTTTGAAAATTCTAGGGAACTTATATTGTTAATAATTCAAGTATCAAATTTGTCATTTTGAATATTGAGTTATGGAACACTTATGTGGAATTGATTATAATGATGTGGAATGCTGTAGTACCTGTTGTAAATTCCAATGGAACATGCTCCACCTTAACACAATTATTCACATGACCTTTTATTATGTTAAGAGTAATTATATTCTTTTCTATACACCTTTTTATTACTTGAATGCTTTAGATGTTGCATTGCCAAGCGATTTTATCTTCTTCTTATGTTAACGGGATAATTCTCTTGCATCCTTGATGTTGAGCATGACAGGTTTCTCCACTAATCTATGTTATGTTTGTATGCCAGCATTGCGCAGATGATGATAGCACAACAAGGCCACTTTTGCTTGTTACTGCGTCAGTAGATAAAATAGTTCTCAAAAAGCCACTGTGTGTGGACAAAGACCTAAAAATTTCAGGAGCTGTCACATGGGTTGGTCGGTCCTCCATTGAGATACAGATCGAAGTCACTCAGTCTGAACAAGGTATTCCATAGATAACATTTTAATGCCTGATTCTTCTCTTTTCGCGGGAATGTTGATGAAAAAAATGGCTAAAAGTATGAGAGTGTTTAACTGCGTGTTAAATGAGGATTGGTCATGCTTGGTGTCATTTTGTTTGGTTAGAAATATTGTTATTTCCTCTCTTCCTAAACACATCTCTCAACTTTTCTCATCAACGTGCAGATCCCTCAATAACATTTCTAACAATGTTCTACTGTAACTATATTAAATCATGCATATGCCTTACCTGTTTCCTTCTCTTTTCATGTTTAACATCCAAACTTAGTTCAAATATCCGTTAGGGATTAGCTTACTAGTTATGATGAGCTAACTGGCAGTTGATACATTTTTTATTCAAGATGCGATTTCTTCTTCTATATGACAAGATCGTACTTCTTGTGTCCTAGAAAATTCACTGCAATCAGATCCCTTGGCTCTAACAGCTTATTTTACCTTCGTTGCACGTGATTCTAAGACTGGAAAATCTGCTCCTGTAAATCGACTTGCTCCAGAAACTGACCAAGAGGACTTATTTCTAAAGGAAGGGGAAGCAAGAGATAAACTACGGAAGAGGAAGAGGGAAGTGGAAAAATTGGCATTTGAAGGTGGGCACAGTGTCCATGGGGAGGTGAAACGATTAAAGAGTTTGTTGGCCGAGGGTCGGATATTCTGTGATCTTCCAGCTCTAGCTGATAGGGACAGTATTCTTATACGAGATACCCGTCTTGAGAATTCGTTGATTTGCCAACCACAACAAAGAAACCTTCATGGGCGTATTTTTGGAGGATTTTTAATGCACCGAGCATTCGAACTGGCCTTCTCGACTGCTTATGCCTTCGTTGGGCATAGACCTTGTTTTCATGAAGTTGATCATGTTGACTTTTTGAAGCCTGTGAGTATTTACTTCCATGAGATTTTTTACTAAGATGTTATTGATTTTACTTTTATATATTATTCTAACATCCTTGTAATATTTATCATACTGCCTTGGGGCTTCTCTGGCATGGCGGCAGTGGCCTTTTGCATTAGCATTCTAGGTAAATTACATTTTGTTTGCATGCTTGGACGGTGCAGAAAATGGCATACTTGAGAGCATCTCCCACGGCCAACCAAATCAAAAGAGCTATTAAGGATGTGTTCCTTTCAACTTGGTTGGGAATAAGGGTGTAAACGTGTCGAGTCGAGTTCGAGTCAACTTAAGCTTGTGCTTGTGCTTTACTAATTAATCAAGTTTGAGCTCAAGCTTAATTCTAGTCAACTTAATTTTTTTATTCTGAAACAAAAGATAGTTTTGATTCAAGTAATTATTGTAATAAAATGATTAAAAAATTGGAAATTAAATGAAACATAAAGAAAATCATTTGAAATAAGGATAAAATATAAATTTTAAAAGAATTTTATACTTATTTAATTCAAATAAAATTTAAGCGTATTTTACATTAATAATTTTTAAGCAAGTTAGTTCATAAGCTAACGAGTCTAGTATGGGCTAGCCTGAACTTGAGTCACTAGCTCTCAAGCTTGACTTATAAGCCATTTATGAAGTCGATTTGGGTCAATTTGGCTAGGGTACACCTATAATTAGGAAAGTAGAATTTTCCATGTCCTGTGGTTAGTGCGCCCATGCTGACGTGCTCTATGGTAGTCCAAGAGAAGGGAGGGGTGGCGAATTGGTATTTTAAAAAACTTTTTTTAAAAACTGGAGTATTATGCGAAAGCGAATAAATGTTCTAAAACAATATATTTAAAATATACAGAAGAAAAATATTTTTATTCTTATATTTTTAACATTTTTTTTTATGTTTATGCAAAAGATTAATCAACTTAATTTTACACATGTTGTTGTCATAGAAATATGCAAAGTAAACCAAAAGCAGGCAAGTAAAAGTACAAGAAAAGTAAACAATACAAATCAACGATTTTTATCGTGGTTCGATCACCAAACCTGCGTCTACTCCCCGAGGTCTTTCTTCTTAGGATTTTTACTATATAGAAAACTCTTTTAAAACTCAATTGAGCGGAGAAGCCCTTTTTTCTTGTTAGGTGGAGAATGACTTTGCTAGACTCTTCTGTCCCCGAAAAGTCTCTCTTATTCAGCCTCTTGGCACGCAAAGATGCTACTTCCTCCTTCTTCTTATAGTGGAGGAGATGTCGCTCTCTATTACTTCTTGTAATAGTGGAGATGCAGCTCCCATAGCCTTCTCTGGCTAGTGTTGAGTCCTCTCCCAAGACTCCTATAGAGACCCTTTCAAAACACTTGATCCAAGACTCTGGAGGAAAGGTACAAGTTGACAAGACTTTTGTTTGAATCCCCTTACATAATCCTTTCCCTCAAGGTTTCTCTCAACTCACCCTCGCTCCCAAAAGTTTGCTCAAGGTTTTTCCAAGGAAGAGATCCTCTCTTTCTCCCCGATGGCTCTCATTGAAACCCATGTTTGAGATTCTCGAAAAGACTATTCTTAAAATGAATTACATTGGGCTATTTAATTGAAACCCTAATTTTTAATCTTAATGCTTTTATCATACAGTACGAAGCTTGGTTCATACTATCTGATTAGTTAAACTCTTATTTAAGATTGTATTGTATGATATTTGGTCGTTCAATATGATCAGTTATATCGAATTAAGGATCGTTTTGGATGACAAATTTCGTCCAGTGAAGTCTTTATTTAACTGGACTGTACGACTTGGATCTTATAGTTTAATCTAATCAAGATTTGATCATGATTTAGTTCCATGATTACCTGATAAAATTATGCAACATTCATTAATGATCGTACATTACAAAAATCTTTTGTACCATACGATTATGTCAAAATTCAAATATGGAATTTACCTGATTTTTGTAACTAAGATTCGACAATAGGTTTTTATCAAGATACTTGATCTTACTGTATGATTGTAAGTCATACATCACAATTAGTTTTGCTAAAAATTATTTTAATTAATTTAATTAAATATTTGATTTAATTTTTGAAATAGTTAATCGTACAATATGATTTGGATTGTACAGTACGATCTCACAGAGAAAATCAAGTGTTCAATTTTCTCATCATTTATGTGTGTGCTTGCCAACATACATCATATACAAATTGATTCTAGAAAAAGAAAAACTACAAACTTTTTTATTACAACTTGTGACTAGACTCAATGTTGAGTTCTTTTTTTTTTTGGTCCGTAAGCTATACATGAATTATTCATTGCACAAGAAAATCAAGTGTTCAATTTTCTCATCATTTATGTGTGTGCTTGCCAACATACATCATATACAAATTGATTCTAGAAAAAGAAAAACTACAAACTTTTTTATTACAACTTGTGACTAGACTCAATGTTGAGTTCTTTTTTTTTTGGTCCGTAAGCTATACATGAATTATTCATAGCACACAATAGAAAATTATATATATATATATATA